AAGTATTAAGCAAACATAAACTATTAACATGGCTGTATAAACAAAAGTTGTTCCAATGAAAACATTGCCATTGTGTCCAAACAGAGCATCTTCTGTACTGCACTTAACAGAGTCATTTGGCTGATATGCTTTGAGTTTCCTTTTTTGGTAGCCTACTTGGTGCTCTTCATGCTGTAAGTGTCCATTACTGTTCTTAAGAATAACATTTCTAAATAAACCAGCTGTCAAGAAGGCTGATCATCTCCGCAGGTCCTCGACTTGCACTGGAAATGGATTACTATACTACACATTGTTCAGTTTGAAATTTGAAAACAATTGCTAATTTTGCATGTGAATGTGTCTTTGAACGTGTATCTACAACAATGCATTATTTGTGGAGTTATACAAGCGGCTCATTGTTACCACTTATGCAATAGTCAGCAGTTATCTTCAGGAAAAGCAGACAAACATAACCTTTAGGTACATCTGCTTGCTAATACAAATATCTAACCAGCTAATGTGGCAGCCACTCGGTGCATAAAAGCATGCAGAAATTTTACAAAAGTTCAGCTGTTTTTGAAACTGAACAGAGCGGCTAAGAAACATGGTGTAATTGTAGATAATTATAACATGAATATGTAGTCAAAAACATGATGCTGTAATGTCATCATGACTCTCACGTGTCTCTAGGCAAGAAAGAATGCATGCATATTTTAGTGCTTTTATTAATGGGTGTTATTAATACGTTTTCAATGCAACATTCTTAGGTGGTCGAGAATGTTTAGATGAGAACACGTGCCTCAATAACTTGGTCAGATATCTGTTTTGTATTTCTGGTGTGTTGCTTTTCCTCCTTTTCTCCAAAGGAAATGATTTTGGGCCAATTATACCTTATCTGACAGATCTATTCCTGTTTCTTGGGAAAAGTATGCATGCTAGACCATGTGTATGGAAGATGCCTCAGTTAAGCAGTGACTTCCTTTAGAAACAAATGAGTTTCTGAGACACAATCACACTCGTGATTATGTTGTTAGAAATCAAATACCAGCTAATTACTTCCCATATGCATTTACTAAAATAGCCCACTTTATTTAAAAGCAAATTGGGACACAGAATGCATTACTCTAAGGTTTCAAATGGTTGCCTGTTGTAGGATTATCACAGATTCTGAGTTTAGTGACTCTGGCAGAGGAATACATGTTAATAACAGAGCAAGTAGGAGACAGTATATACTGCAGTAAGTATACGCTAGTATTCTCATGCTGTTAAACTCACTTGTGTAGTTCAAACAGTAGTCAACACCAATGTTTTTGTGATTTTATTAAAACGGACTTCATAAGCAATCTTCTTCACATAGTGCTTTACAAACAAATTTTTACATGCAGTTTAACAATAAAAAGTAAAGACCATCATATAAAATGAAACAAAGAATGCCAATGATAACATACAAGAGTAGTAAAGCTGTGCTGTAGGATGCCTTCATGAATGCATTGATAATACTGGCCCTATATGCAATGAGAAAGCAAAATGTTGTTTGCAAATCAGCAGATATAATTTCTGCCAATTTGCCTCTAAGAAAAATATATAATGCAGGCTTAAAGACAGATTAACCTTATTATCTTGGTATTTAGTGAAATCATGTAGTTATACACACTCTTCCCGTCTTCAATCATATTACCTGGAGTTGCAGCCAAATTCCACCAAATGTTCCACTGAATTTCCTCTCAATGGGGTAACAGATAAGGGTCTTTTATGTAGGCCTAGCTCTTGTTTTTTGGGATCGAATGTTTCTTTGAAGTTTTGGAATTCTCATTTTCAGAATTTATTTGATCCAGTGATATAATGAACGCAATGAATCATTTCTGATAAATGCAGATAGGAAATGTTTCAGTGGTGCGATCGGCAGAACAAGCTGCTTTGAAAGCACCTTCTGCTTGCCTGGAAACTTGACTAAAACGGCAACTTCCAATAAACTGTTCAGATGTATAGCTTAGGGGAGTTCGTAAACGACATGACATAACGAAATGACATAAACAACTCAACTGTTGTCATACAGTAAAAAAAATAAAACATCAGATATTTTAGTCTTGGAAGAATATGATGGGAGATATCTGACATTTGATTGCAGCTTTTTAAATCTGAGCCATTTTTGAGATTTCTTCTGAAACTAGAGAAGCACATGAGATGTCTATCTGAGAAGATCTCGGCAAACATCTCCATTTGCTCCCCATTTAACCTCATAGCTGTCTAGGGAATCATTTCTGGAATTCAGATACTGGCAAGACATCATTTGTGACTTTTATTTCCTGTAGGAAAAAATGATTTCTGTGTCTTACAATAATATCCTCTAGTAACAACGAAAAGTATCTTCTTGAATAAGCTTTGCTGGTTTGTGATAAAACTATATATGCACTTTTAAACACGGAGGTTCTTTCTTCCATTACCATGTTTTACTGTGTTTATACCGTTCCGTGTTTTACCAGAGTTGGGCGTGCTCTTAAAGGTACGTAGCGCGGACGTTAAAGCTGCAGTCCGTAAGTTTTGCCTCTTTGTCGCCATCTCTGTTTGAAAACCTGGAATTGCAGCTGTGTGCGGAATTATCTAGCTTGCGTGGGTTGTGAGTCGGCACGGCTCCAGCGCGGATTAATCGGATGTTCTGAAGAGTATGTGTGGCAGTCAGTCACCGCACCGGTGTGGATATTTACTGTACTTCGCAATCACAGATTCTAGCCTATGTCTTGGCATATATATCCCAAATAAGCATTCTCACCGGATATTGTCATCTGAACAAGTAACAAGTCTGCCACATTTGTTCTGACCAACTGAGGAAAAAAGCATTACAATAAATCGTGCTACCAATGGTGATTAAATCTAAAGATCGGTTAGCTCATATCACATCAAACCGTTTTCACATGGTTGCAAATGCAACGCCAAGTTTGTTCATTTAAATTTATTCAGTTTTAGCATTTAATAATTTATTTGTAATGATCTCTGAAATGTAAATTGTAAGTGGGCTATAATAAACCCATGTCTATCTTTATAAACATGATTAATTTGACTTGTGATGTTTTCTATATGGGATGATTAGCCTAATCCTCTTGAACACGTGACGCTGGCGGCCCCCCCCCCAACACGGACACACACAGCACCCCCAACCGAAAGTATCTTCCCGCGCCCCTGTTACGGACTGCAGCTTTAAGGATTATGTGCAAAACTACAATGTTTTATCCGTCTTATATATTGATATTTGTGTTAACTCTTGCTTTTAATCCTCATTTTAGGTATTTATTCTGAAGAAGGGGTTCATTCTATTGAAAATAGAACAAGAAAAATATGTAGGCTATGTAAGGTAGGGAGCGATAATGGACGGATTGTTGTGAGAGATGAACAAGGTTTGTTATAAGCGTTATTGGTGAGGTTATTAACAAGGATTGTATTTGTTGTTATTAGTGCTGCTTAAATGCGGTAAAACTCCGGTTTCAGTGCTGTTTTTAATACAGAGCGCGGTTTAGTTAATGGGGTCCTATTATGCTCTTTTACAAAGTCTTGATTTTGTTTTGGGGGTGTACTAGAACAGGCTCTCATACTAGGTTGTTAGAAAAACACATTATTTTTCACATATTTTACATTATTACAACACCTCTCTCCCCAGTCAGGCATGAGGCTTGAATAGTTCCTGTATCAAATCAAGGCCCACCTTCTGAAATACGAAATGTGCTGTGATTGGTTAGCTGGGCCAGTGTGTGTTGTGATTGGCAGCACTCGGCGCCTGGTCGGGAAATGTCACGCCCCTTACCATAGCCACCTGCGAGCTTCAGTGGAAATATTGCATCAAAATCAAATAAATTTGAGCGCGATTCAAACCTGGATGATTGTAACCACTCTAAGTTCGTCTGCCTCGGGAAAGCTAGCGTAAAAAAAAATCTTCCTTTACTTGAGTGGCGCATTTTGCGCAAGACGCAACATATTTGATCGAGACGTGAGCGCGAAGGAGCAACATGGCCGTCTATAGAAAAACAATGGAAAAGTAGCAAAAAAACACCCCACACAATGGAAAAGTAGCGCAACAGAATGGGAAAATGCGCTCTGCGAGACTGAAACATCTTATAAGACTGATTTAAAAATAACATTTGGTTTATTTATGCTCTTAACACCTGTTTTAATTTGCACATACTGTTTTTATTAAACAACATCTCGGACGCCAGTTTCGATATTGTAGCGTGGTGTGATTCTCATTGCGACCGCTTGGGTCGCTATTACAGGCCCTTATGGTTCCATGAAGAACATTTGGTGTAAAAAGTTTCTTTAGATTATTAAAATGTTCTAAACACTAAGAAAAAAAATGGTTCTTTGAAGAACTGTTTACTAAAAGTTTTTTTGGGAAACCAAAATGGTTATTTTAAGGCAATGCTGTAAACCCACATTATTTTCAAGCGTGTACCCGGATGAATCTTGCAAGAACATGTCTCTGTTTTTATTAAACAACATCTCGGACGCCAGTTTCGATATTGTAGCGTGGTGTGATTCTCATTGCGACCGCTTGGGTCGCTATCACAGGCCCTTATGGTTCCATGAAGAACATTTGGTGTAAAAAGTTTCTTTAGATTATTAAAATGTTCTAAACACTAAGAAAAAAAAATGGTTCTTTGAAGAACTGTTTACTAAAAGTTTTTTTGGGAAACCAAAATGGTTCTTTTAAGGCAATGCTGTAAACCCACATTATTTTCAAGCGTGTACCCGGATGAATCTTGCAAGAACATGTCCAGGATCCGATAAAAGCATTTGCCAAATGCATACATCTAAATATGACCCATTTCTGAGGTTGTGTGAGATTCACCCACATTTTATCTCATGCACAACATCTTTCACATGTCAGTCTTTTAGTTGAGAACTTAAAAAAAAAGGATAAGGAAAAACAACCAAAATGCTATACTGTAGGTTCACTTTTTCAAGACAACAATAAAGACGTCTGTTTCATACACTCGGATTTCTTCCTCTTCATCAAGTGCAACTATCTTTTACTACTGCAAATCATCATGGACTTGCATTTCTTCAGAGTCAGACAGTTTGCATTGCTTGTCAGACTTGCACCCATCAGGTTTCTTTTCGTTTATGACCTGGCAGGAGCAGGGCAGACAGTCTTGGTGTACAGAAGTGAAGCCTTGGCGCCTTGACTTCTGCGAGCTGCTTCGACGTCGAAAAGACGGATAAACACCACTATGGCTGAATGAACCTAAAGTCCTTCGATCTGACACTCTACGGATGGCCGTGCGGAAAGTCTCTCCTGCAAAGTAGTACAACAAGGGGTTGAAGCAACTGTTGGACGCCGCCATGCACAACGAGATGACCAGAATTTTCACGAGCAACTCAATGACTGGGCAGCTTTCATTTAAAACCTTGGCATAAAGATGGACTGTGCGAGCGACGTGATATGGCAGGAAACACAGCAGGAATGTGCTCAGGACAACGGCGATCAAATACACAGAGCGTCGGCGGGTGTTTCCTCTTCGATTACCAATTTTTCGTCCTTTGATGAGTTTGCAGATGATGCATCCGTAGCAGACGAGAATTATAATGAACGGAATGACGAATCCAAACGAAACCCCCACGTAGTTCAAGCTATAGATGCGATTCCATGACTTGTTGTTCCCCGGTTCAAAGCAACGCATCTTGTTATGCCGCTCTGTAGTACCTGTCATGAGGAATGGCATTGACGAGCAAGCCACAAAAATCCAGATCGCAAAGCATGATATTCTGGCTCTCCACACCGTAACCAGGGACTTGTTGCGAATGGGGTGAACTACGGCGATGTATCGTAGTACGCTAAGACCTGTAAGAAACAATACACTTGTGTACAGGTTGACATAAAAGGAAAATACACACCAGCGGCAAAACCAGTCTGGAAAATCCCACTGACCGCCCCTAAAATAGTAGACCAGACGGAAGGGCAACGTCAAGGAGAAGCCAACATCTGAAATAGCCAAGTTAGTCATAAATACAGTGTTGGCCGTCTTCTTTGGAGTGAGACGCAGGAACACAAACAAAGCCACAGAGTTGCTGATAAATCCAATAGGGAATACGACACTGTACGTGACTTTGTACGCCAAATATTTGAAATCTTCACTTTCCTCACAAGTCTGATTCATGTCAGGTTCTTGGGTGACGTTGAGCCAAGATGGAGTTACCGATGTGAACACAGGAGCTGGAGGCAAAAAGAATAACAATTAGAAATTAAACGATTGTGTTGCGATCAGAAAAGGCGCAGTCATGGTACGCTTTAAGCATGCATGCAAAATAGCTTCTTCATATTCTCGAACGAATATCAGCTACAACAAGATGTCATGCTGGTGGTTTTAATCATTCATAAAACATAATAGTAAAAAATGTATTCGAAAGTTCAAATCTCCTTCAGCAAACGTTATTGAGCCAAGAGATCAATCTGTACTGGTCAAGCATCTTTTGGCTATGCAAATGTGCAGGTCACCCAACCTGAGCTGTTGTTTGCAGCATATTTGACTAAAAACTCTTTGCATGTGCTTGCATTTTTGCTCCCAATGCATGCGAGTCTAGTGTGGCCGCACCACAAAAGACTGAACATGCTGATAAAGTGATGAAGAAATGATATTAGAAACTGATAAGTATTACAGTTCAGCCCTTGCTCAACAATAGCTTACTAAACCAGGAAAAAGACGTGTTTTATTTAAAACAGGGGTTTAAAAACTCCCCTTGGTTTTCAGGTTAACAATTGACATTGCCATAGAGGTTTAATACACAGACAGCAGGGTAGCATAAGCATAATATGCTTTACTTCATCTAAAACGTTTTTATACACTATTTTTAAAGCAGTTTTATATTTAATAGAGTTTATATTAATTCTGTATGTAACAATTTAGTATCTGAATATAAAAAAAATCCATTTGCTGTATAAGTGAACTGCAAAAACGGGGTTCAAATGATTATGATTATTATTATTTTAAAAAGGGAAAAAGGAAATGCAATACTTTATATTCGTGTGTCTATATAAGCCTCATGTTCATGATTTTTTTTAACTACCCAAATATCGTTATTTTATCAAGAAGTCTGTTGTTTCCAGTAGTCCCATCCATAGTTCATATGCAAAACATATGCAAAAGAATATTCAGAGAGTGAAATGAAAACAGTTGCACACTAACAATATTCAAATGACGGCTGTAAATATACACACCTGAAAAACTAAACATAGGCTGTTGCTCTGCATAAAAGAAAGGCATTGTTAATTATTAATGTGACTAATAAACCAATTTTCTGTAAGTAACTTAACTGAACTGGTTATGCTATTGAAAACACAGTTGTACTGGATATTTACAATAAAGCTGCTCTTCCCTGGAATCATTAACGGAACAACTCTAACAAGTTTTCCAACTAGTCTTACACGAAAAGCACCTAAAGGTATCAGCATACTTTTCAAAACTTACCATGATAATTCTTTACACAAAAGCACTCTGGAGGTACTATGGTACAGCAATGGTAAAATAGTTGATACTTTAATTTAAACCATGGTACTGAAATAGTAGTATTTAAGGTTCTTCTAAGAATAGCCTACTCTGGTACTAGTGCAAATCCAAAAGAATAAGTTTTTGGTCACCACATTTACTTGAGCATCTTGGATGTCAAGAACTGTACAAAAAGGTACAAATAAATAAAACTGAACGAACCCTGCAAATATGATTAATTAATTTCAGAACTATTAAATCGCACCCTCGCTGTACTTTTGTATTTTTTTAATTGATATCAAAATATGACTCTAGCTGGAGTTTTACTCACCTGTCATTCTCTCTTGACCATCATCATCATCCTCATCATCCTGATGAATCCGGATGCGTTCAAATTACTGGAGAGCGTTATTTAACAAAATGTCAAAATGTTCCTCTCTCGGCAGTTTCAAGTGTCTGCTTCCTCTATCGTGGTCTTGAAGAGTGCTGCCTCTTCTGGAGCTTACTTGGGTGTCCCATCTTTGACTCCAGCACGCACCGGACTCTCCGATAATAAAGAAAGTTACGTCCGAATCTTTTAAAGAATCGCTTGCGTTCAATGATTCACACGAACCGATTCGCACAACGTTTTTTTTCGACTGCAGAGATGTGATAACTACACCGCATTTTAAAAAAGAGAGATGTAACCTCATCGGTAAACAGCATATTTTCGCTCAAATAAAAGTAACGTAAACTTGTAGCCTACTTCTGGGGTATTTTTTTGAATGATGATTTTATGGGGCACATATATTGAACGAAACGAATCGATTCAACTTCCCAAAGAATTCAAGAGAAACCACACCTTCAGGAGTTTTCTTTTTTCTTCTTTTTTTTCTGTTGGTGGTTTCTCTGATGCAGGTGTGATGGCGTAATTCACATGAAATGTAATTGCGTAATTCTCTTAACTCAGTACCAAGCATGATATTTCCGTAATACATGTTCAATAATAGTATTACTATGTGTTTTTTTTTTTTATTGTCATAAACTTATAAAACAAGAAAAACACCTATATGTATTAACAATAGATTAAAATATAAATAAAAAATATATTCTATTAATATAATCATCGTGATACATACTTAAATGTTTTCATTTAGTCAAACTGTTTGTGATTCTCTAACCAAATGTCACAGCTGGACATTGATTTGAGAAAGAACGGTCGACGAAAACGGCTAAAAGAAACTACATTTCCCATCACGCAACAGCAACAAAACACGCCATCTCACCAAAAGGCATTCTGGGAAGGAGAAGCTCGTAGACCATTTTAGCAGCAGATGACATCGAGTGACCCGACGAAGAGTGGGATCTTTCATCGAGAAGGGCAGACTAGCAGTCGTTAGATTTCTCAGTATATATGAGAAATATTTCTTTTCAACGCTTCGTTGAAATATATTTGGTAAGTTTTCGTTGTTTGGTGCGTGTTTTGCGCCTTTTTCAACGACAACCCGACGACACGGTCTCCATTTTGAAGCGTCTTCCTGTAGCTTACCGAACTTCTCACATAACGAAAATGGAGACCACACGAACAAAACATATTATGATACTACTACCATACGGTCTTTAGACATGTACCATGACATATATCTTGTATTGGGCATGTAACATGGTAGTCTGGTAAGTAACGTTACATTGAATTACAAAATAAATACCGCGCCATTGGAATGCATTCAGTCTTGTCCTGTTAACGTATATCGTCCTGACTGCCAGGGAACTTTATATAAAGACGATTCTCAGCTATGTTATGAAAGATATTTTAAAAAAACATTTTTCTTTATGTAAAATGGCCATAAACAAGTTTTTCCATGATATACAATGTATCTATAAACTATCTAATTTGCATATTAATGTGTTTTTGGGGCAACATAGAATGAACAAATAAGTGCAATAATGGGAGTGTTAATTAGCTAGATTTTCATAATATTTAATACATAATTTTTTTTCTCTTCATTAGTTGTGTCTCCCAAAATGTGTAATAAACATCCTTTAAGTCCTGGTGTCCTCTAAAGTGGACATGTATGAAATCGATGGCCTGTTTCATAACAGAAGGTCATATTTTGATTTGAAGCCCCATAACATTTTCCTGAGATGTTGATTTATGACAAACTATTTGAAAATTGGTCAGATTTAAGTGATGATTACAAAATATTATCATATTTCCATAAGGGTGTTGCACTTTATCACTAAGTTAATGTCAGCCATTTTTAAAGACCAAGGAGAGGGGGTGGTCGTGGTGAAACTTCCAATCATTTGGTATCTCTGAAAAGCCCTGAATGTGCTCTGTACAGGACATCCAGACTTAAAACTGTGACATGTAACATCTCAGAGAAATCACTAAAACATAATGTCCTCTACAGAGGACAAAACTCCATAGCTAGTAGTCAGGAGGATATACAACTTATATAAGTATCATAGTATTTCCTCTACAAAAGTTTTGTGATCTTATCAAATGGTAATACCATTTGGTTAGTTTATGTACCGTGGAATTTATTTATCATGAATTTGTATTTTTTATAAATTTGTAATTCCAACACAAGGCTTTATAATGTCATATATCTGTGATATGTGCAACAAACTATTATTGTTGTGTGTTGATTTATTTTATGTGTGTTATATATTCAGTGTATATATTGACTAATATATATATTTTTAACAGTCCTTATATTGAGAAACAAAAGATGGGTGCAGATAAACGGTGAGTGTTTTGATTTATGAAGGTTTTGCTTATTTAGGTAGATTTGCTGTAACCTAATTTAAATGTTTGACATCCTAATAATGTTCATTAAATATTGTTTTAACTAGGATTAGCCGCACAGAACGCAGCGGCAGGTACGGCTCTGAACAGTATCGTGATGATGACCGCAGGGACCGACGAGATCGTGATGACCGTGGATACGACTCGTATCGCTGGAGTGACGATCGCAGAAGTGACCGCTACGACGGTGAACGAAGTGACAGAGGTGATCGATACTGGAGCAGGGACAGTCCTGAGGTGAGGGCTACCGATATATGTATTTGTTTATTGGATCTTTTGATATGAGAATGATGCTAACTTTACCAAATCTCACTGGTGTTACAGCGAGGAAGGAAGCGGCGCTGCAGTGACGGGTCCGATGATGGACACCACTCGGATGGTGATTACTCTGAGCATGATTACAGAGGAGACCCAGCTGACGAGAAGGAGAGCAAGACCATCATGCTCCGGGGTCTGCCCATGAACACGTCAGAGGCAGATGTAAGTTGTTGTTGTCTCCCCCACCCAAAAGCAGTGTTTTAAAAGGTTTCCATAGTATTGGAAAACCTGAATATATCAGGGAGTTTTCTGAAATTGCATGGAAATTTCAGTTAACAAATAATAAATAAATGTAACAAATATTTCAGAACTGGAATAAAATCTATATCATGGACATTTTTGCACTTAATAATAATAATAATAATAATAATAACAACAACAAACATTTTAATAAATATTTCCATAGGCTGTGAATAAATTTAGTTAGCATTCCAGGCATGGAATCAAAATATCGTATCATGGAAATTTCTGAATTGTTATAATTAATAATAATAGTAGCAATTTTTTTTATTTTTTAGGCCCAGAATTAATAATAATAATAATAACAACAAATTAATTCAGTAAATATTCATGAAATTTTTTTTTTCAGTGAGCATTATTATTAATATTAAATTATTTTAATAAATATATTAAAAATAAAGTGCAAATTTGTAAATTCCAACCAGTGTTTAAAATTATTTTCTGAATTATTAAAAATGCATACGTTTTTTTTTTTTTTTAAATTTGATATTTTATCCTGGATTTCACTATGAAAGTCGAACTAGAAGCTGGCTTGGTTTTAGCAAACACACTAGCAAACTTGATCTGACTTTTCCTTGTAATCCACAGATTCGAGCAGCCATTGAGCAGCTGGAGGGGCCAAAGCCAATGGACGTGAGGCTGATGAAAAAGAGAACAGGTGAGACTGATGTACCACGGATCCTTCCTCTCCCAAACAAACCTGTGTCCACTGGGCCAACCTGCTTCCGCTCAAACGCCTTTTGCCATGGCAACATGTTATATGTCTAGTTTTACCCTTTCAGACTACGGAGTTAAAAAAAAAGAAAAAGGTTGTACATTTGATACATGTTTGGAGGTAAGTTTTGTCTGGGTTTTGTGTGGCTCAAAATTGGCACAGTTTTATTTATGCCAATTGAAGTTACATGAACATAGATTCAGTCATGTAGCTTCTTTATCTTGTTTAAGTACAAATATATTAAAGATCATCCAAAAGTCAATCTGATGGCAGTATCTGTCTCATAAAGATTATTTGCTTGTTAATGCTAGCTATGTTTATGAATGTTGGTTTTGATTATTGATTCAGCATGTTAGACCAACAGCTAGAATATTATAAGCTGCTGTTGCTATGGTAAAAGCTTCCAGGCAACCCCCCTACATCATCCCTACAAGGGGGTCACGAAGCAGTTTGAGACAGAGTTTGAATGTTGTACCACTGAACCATATAAACTAACACGCCTCCCGTCTGTATATCTGAATGCCTCTCTAGGTATAAGCCGAGGTTTCGCCTTCGTGGAGTTTTATCACTTGCAAGATGCTACCCGATGGATGGAGACCAATCAGGTTGCTTCCTAATCACAAAGTCTAGCTTTTGCCCTGGGGAATAATGCAAATTAAATAGAAAATATAAATGGAAGGAAAGCAAAAAACAAAGTTGCTGCCCCAGCAGACTATATGGACAGAAATGGACCAAAGCCGCTGTTTTTGAAGGCAAGGTGTGACCAAAACATAAAAGAGCCATTTGATGGATACTCTGGCTTCATGTTATTAACTTTACCAGAACTCTGTTTGTTAGCACGGGTAAAATAATCACTGATTGGAAAAAAAAAAGGGATGTAGATATTACAGTTCAGGTGTGACTTGAATGACTCAAATGGGTTTTACGCCACAATTTTTGTCATACTCTAAAAATGTTTATTTTTTTTTGCCCCCCTCCATAAGAGATGTTAGGTTTCGAGGCTAGAAGTAGAATTGTTGGTGCTGTATTTAACATCCCATTTCATGGACATCACTATTAAAATATGAGCAGTTTTTACTAGTAAATAGTTTTTGCGCAGAGAAAGTAAATGGTAAGCCTATGCCTCGTATTGAAAGTCCCCCCCATCCAGTTTAAGAAAGGAGTGCCTTTTATTTTATTTTTTTTTACACTGTTCCGGCCCCATCCGGACACTCGGGTCCCAAACACACACCATCTTACACATTAAACCCTCCCGGGCGATCCTCACCCTAAACCCTCGTGGCTAATGTGGTTGTTCTTGGGCTGAGAATTAAACCTTCGTAATAGAGGAAATAACCAAACCCTTTCTTCCTTTTCCAGAAACGGCTGTCCATTCAAGGCAAGACTGTTGCCATGCACTACAGCAACAACCGTCACAAGTTTGAGGACTGGCTCTGCAATTCAGTAAGTTTCATGGG